TAGAACCCCTCTGCCTCTTACTGTCCTGAATCTTCCCCTAAACCTCCTAACTCCTCTGCTTGGAGCCCCTCATCTGCTCCTCCTTCGACTGAATCATGATCTCAAGATGAGCCGCCGCCTCCACACGGTGTTCGTAGTACCTAATCATGGACCCATCCACTTTGAAACGAAGCCTGGTCCTCAACCTCTTCTCGAAATCAATACAACGGCGTTCCTCCATCGCTACGAGTTCCAATGCAAACCTTAACAAAGTAGTAAAGGCAACCTCAAACTCGGCCACTAGTGTGTTAAGCTGTTTGAGCTTCAAAAACTATTCTCTCAACTTCTCCCTAGCAGTGGGAGGCAAAAACTTGTCCTGAAAAGCTTTGACAAAGGCCTCCCAAGTCACTCCAATGCGCCCACACTCATACTTCCACTACTGACCCGCATCTCTCTTCAGCTGGAAGGATGCTAAGGTCACTCTCAGCCCATCGTCCTCGATTCCAAGCATCTCGAATGTGTTCACTATCTTCTCTAACCACTCATCCACCTTCAGTGGCTCCTTCGAATCCCCCAAAAAACTTATCTAGATTAGACCGGAAAAATTCCCTCTTCAGAAAAGATATCCCTGTCTCAGCTATATGGGCCTGGATTTGATTCTCAACTCTGAGAATGTCCATGGATTCCCGCAAGGCTCCAGCCATCTCACAGGCTAAAACACTCATGGCCTACTGACCCACTGGTTCGGCCACATTGGCCTGACCAACCCCTTCCTCCTACGCCAGAATATCATCCAGTAATAGCACCTCCTACTATCTAGGCCTGCCACGCCTACCAACACAACGTCCACATCTTAACATCCTAATGAAGGTAATACAAGAGATTAACACATTTACAAATGTCCTGAAGCTAACTCACTCACGTCCTAATGCGATGGACAAAAATTAATTCACTCCACATAAATATACAGTCACATACACATATACGATTTTCCTTTATAGATAATGATCGTGCCGTAACTTTTCCAGAATTCCAGATAGAAATAGTAGTGATCAAGTGCTCTTCTAACAGGACTTCTAGAAACTCATAGACCCAATCAATATCTTATAAATTAAATCTCATACCCATCTAGTCACATCAACATATTATCACATAGCATATTAGGTTTACTTCTGACATAAACTAGCGAGATAATCCACTGGGGTAAAAACCACATCCCACGATCCCAAAGTATTCAAACCCGGTAGCTGTGATACCAAGTTGTAACACCCAGAAAATAATAACCATAATTTATCCCACGATATTAATTAAATAACAACACAGTTCCAAATATGATATCCTTCCATTCATATGATCCAACTGTACAAAAAATAACACATGCAGTTATACATTCATAAGCCCTAACCCAGAATCTATAGCATATGCCACACTTTCATAGTCTGAAATAAAAGTTAAATAAATAAAGTAATGCCCTATTGGCTACAACTTTCCAGGATAATGCTTGGTTACAACAAAAGTGACTTTGAAACTCAATATAAATAAAGCCCTAGGCTTGTACAAAATAATTATAACAATAACAAAAAAAACATCTTGGCTCCAAGTCCTCCTATGCTATGGCCTTGGCGGAGGTATATCATCAGCACCTGAAAATGGTTTTCCACATAGGGTGAGCCAAAGTCCAGTAGAGATACTCTAACATAGTGTATAAATCTTAACAAAGTTATAACATGAATACATATGCAATGCTAGTGTCAAAATGTTTTACATCTCTTTCTAAAAACCATGCAATGCCAGATTATATCACAATTCATGAAATCATTTTCTTTATAATAGAAAATAGGGTAGTGGAAATAACACTGGGAATCTCTAGGTATGTGTCTGTAAGTAGGCTATACAAGCACTACCAATTGTCATTTTTACTAGTACTAACCGGAAAGCTCGGCACCTAACTGTGCGGGGTTCCTAGACTTTCACCAAGGACACACAGGCCAACAATAATACCACAACCATACTTCCTACCCAGATTCACCAAGGTATTCACCCATTTTTCTTGAAACAATATACATTTTCAATGTTTTAAATATGGAACAGTGCTCAATGCAAATTGATGAAAAATTAGTTTCAATTCTCCTAATTTTCATGCAATGTCTACAACAGTCGTAGCTATCCTCCACCAATAGCGCAAAACATATATCTATAAATAGATAGATAATTCCCAATAAATATAAACTTTCCAAAATTCCAAAATGGAGGTGATAATGCATATCCAACTCCACTATCATCATCATCATCATCATCATCATCATCATCATTCCAATTCCATAAAACATAACATCATTTCCATTTCCTCTTTACAAAATAAAATATTCGCATTTTAGGGGAAAACAAAAACCCCTTTCCTTTATAAATAAGTTTCGAAGATAAAAATCTGCCATTTTATCACAACTCAACCATATTTACAAACCCACAATCATATTCAAGAACCCCTTTGAAAACCCCTCTTTTGACTTTTAAACCAAAACCCTAGATTTTGTTCAAAAATCCCAAATCACAATATTGTTTAGAATATCAAATAACCAAGTTAAAAACGATACAAAAGTGTGGAGAAATCCCTATCTCGAAGCTAGAAGACAAAGAAGAGAGAGGAGAAACTTTGACGAAGGCAAAAACCAACTTTGCTCTAATCAAATGGAAGCTCTAGGCAAGCTCTACCATTTTCCCCAAAGGGCAATGGTTGAAAGATCAATGGATGATAGTGTATTTGAGGTTTAAAGATGTTTTCTAGATAGAGAGGAAGAAAATCTAAGATTTAGAATATTTAGAGAGAGAGAGAGATCAGAAAATGACTCAAAAAGTGGCTGTTATAAATTGATATACGCACAGACCACACAAGTAACCAAAACACCGCTCGAGCGACCAGACATAACAAGTGAGACTGCTCAAGCGAAGAAAGTGACTGCTCGAGCAAAGAACACCATTCTCCTAGTACTTTTGCAAGCCTGCAAAAGTGCTAAGAGTTCCCAAAGACCGCTCGAGCACAAGAAGGACCGCTTGAGCCAAGACTGCTTGTGCACAAGAAACATTGCTCAAGCTAAAAACACTACTGTAGACACCCTATTTTTGACGGTCCTCAAGACTTGGGCGTCATCGCTTGAACACTCGATGATCATCCATGTTCGTGTTCGCTTTGAGTTCCGGGACATCTCGGCCACGCGCCTTGCCTCAAGATCTCTCAACTTGTCTGTTTTGTGCTTGGTTGTGGACCAAGGACTTGTGTTTTTGCTCCTTAGGGAAGAGGGTGGCTTGTTGGCCATCCCCTCAACCCATCGGCCAAGGCATGAAGCCATCGGCCTTGTTTTCTTGCCATCGGCCAAAAGTGTTGGCCGATCGACACTCTTTTTGGTCGGTCGACCCTTATGTTGGTCGATCGGCCATGTTTTCTGGCCGAACCCTATTCATCTACTTCTTGTAAAAAAATATTTATTTTTAATTTAGAATAATGCAAAAATTAATTAAATGGTTTAATTTGTTAAGGTCCAACCTATAATTAACATTTCACGCTAAAAGGAAAAGTACAAATCAAAATTAAATGTCAATATATTAAACAACTTACAAACCATAGTTTAATTTTAAAATCATGCTAAGCATAAAACAAAAACTAAAAAAGAAATATAGTGAAATGAGTTTTATCTCTGTAGTAGAAGGAAAATATTGTTTCAACTGAGGTACGGTACGGCTTGGATATATACTAGGTACGTCTGGGTACGTCAAAAATTAAGAAGAAAAAAGGTTGTTTGAGATAAACTAAATTAGTGCACTTTTTGACTTTTTATAAAATATGGGTTGGGTATGGGTTGGGTTTGAAGTGATGTGGTAGAGAGATGATGTGACTTAAATAAGATGATGTGACTTAAACAGAATAGTGACTTTTTAACTTTTTTTGATTATGCCAAACCAAGCCTTAATGACTTTCCCTTTGAGTCTAATGCTTCTTGTTTTCCCAATCGATATTCCTTGGTTGCTATTTCTACACCAGCCCCTAACATACTACTGGAAATGTACCTACTAAAGTTCCTGCACCAGGGTCTTTACCCTTGGCCAGTTCTTCCGGGTAGGGCCACAAGCTGGTTTGGGGAATCACAAGGCCTTATTCAGGAGGGTGCTTGATTTTGAATTGGAATGATTGATAGAATTTATATTTCGTAGAAGAATGACCGAGGCCAAAAAATCTCGTCACACCCACATACACCTTAGTAAGTTATTGGTCCTTAGGGAATCTGTTTGAATACGGAAAGTGGAAAATAAATTTTCTATATATCATTTGAATTTAGAGCCTATTGTTTTGGGAATTGGGGAACTAGAGAACTATGGTTTTAATGAAATACAATTGTCCCAATTTTTTGCTATTTCAAAAGATTTTCCTATCAATTTTGTGCTTGCATTGTGTTTTTTGTATTATCAAGTTCCTGATTTTGTACTCTCTCTTGCACACCTGCAACAAGTTCAGACTTTTGTATTACTATGGCTGAGAGAGTGATAGAGACGGAGAGGCTAAATAGCACTTCTATATAACTTCATTTAGGACCATGGAAAAGCTGATTTGAAAATTGTTAATGGAAAACATCTTGCTACTTTTGCGTTGGAGCTTATAGCATAAATCATTGAGCTTTTATAATGGAAAGCAATTTTTTCCAAAAAAATTCTCTTAAACATCGTTTGAGATCATTAGATGACGGCTCAAGATCAGCCTCATGAAATTCTAATATTCCCTAAGGAGGTCCTACCCTGTGGAAATGCAAAATGGGGTCTCACTATGTGTTTGGAGTGAATACAATGATATTTATCACACATTTTCTGTCTTGTTAATAATAACTCATATTTTCCTGTTCTCCAAAATGAATAAAATTCACTCTCTCTCTCTGTGGGTCATTTTCTTTTGGAAGTTATTTTAACATGGATGGCAATATATTTTTAATCGAATCTACGTTGTGCATGATGTCAGTACCACTAGACAATCAGATATGTAGACTATTGGGATGTGTAATTTTTCTTTTTGCACTTGTTCTTTTCGTCCTAGCAAATGCTGCCTAACTGAAGTGGAAAAATGCCTATCTAATATTCTATCCCTGACTTTGCAGGTGAGAAATTTGTTATTGACCGGATGTCTGTTTTGTGGACCTCTGTTTCTCACGTTCTGCTTCCTCAACACTGTTGCAATTTTTTACAGTGCCACAGCTGCATTGCCATTTGGTACCATTGTGGTGATAGTTCTTATATGGACTCTTGTTACATCGCCTTTGCTAGTATTGGGTGGTATTGCGGGGAAAAATAGCAAGGCTGAGTTTCAGGCTCCTGTACGCACAACAAAATATCCTAGAGAGATCCCGCCATCGCCTTGGTATCGTGGAACTCTTCCTCAGATGGCAATGGCTGGGTTCCTGCCTTTTAGTGCAATCTATATTGAACTCTACTACATATTCGCTAGTGTTTGGGGTCACAGGATTTACACTATATACAGCATCTTATTTATAGTCTTCATCATTCTCGTAATTGTTACGGCTTTTATTACTGTGGCTTTGATATATTTTCAACTTGCTGCTGAAGATCATGAGTGGTGGTGGAGGTATGTGTGCAGTTCACTGCGTTCTATTATTTCTTCATCCTGCTCAGTGAAGTACTTCTCATGCTTTAGTAGATGCTATTAACTGGTTATTACAATTTTCTTATTCTGATGACTCTTTTTCTCATGTGATTATCTGGTAGCGATGATCTTTTTTATTACATATGTCTCCATAATGTGATTATCATTTGGTAGTTATTTTGTGTTGCAACATGTTTATAAACTTTAACCACTGGCTTTGCAATTGCTTATTTATTTAATCCCCCTTAATGTCAAGTGAATTTCTTTTTTTGATTTGATCATGCTATATGTATTTCAGTATTTAGCAGCTTTCTTGTCTGAACTCCTTTTGTGAGTTGGTTTTGGTAGTTTATTTGTTTCTAGAAACTCAAAAACAACATGCATGGCATTTCATGTGGAGGTAGCTAAAACAAAGTATCTGTAAGAATTGTGATGTATGTGGGTTTTTCACACTGAAGATGGTTATTTTGCATTTAGTATTAAATTTGAGTCAACAAATAAAGAAAGAGACTTGCTACAGCATAATAGACTGAAATATTAATGCGCTGGTAAGTTTTCACTGCCATAGGTTGTTAAGGGAATTGTGGTTCTTTTGACATATGTCCAGTTGTTTAATTTCCATTTGTTATGAAATACTTAATTGAACCAACTGATGGAGATATTTCTAGAACTTCTTTGGTTAATTGTAATGTTGGTGTATTACCATGACCTAAGCTGCATGTAAATAAATCTCCTATATGTAATCAAACCAAGTGTGTCCCAATTAATTGGAGTCGGCTACACAAATTCTTTTTCTTCATTCTGCTCTATCAAGGATCATATGTTCAATTAAATTAAGTAAATTCTTATCCTTCTTTACTATAGTATCCCTCGTCAATCTTAGTCTTATCCTTCCTCTAGCATTTCCATTAGGGGTGGCCATGGGCTCAATGGCCCACCAAACCCAACCTAGCCCAATATGATATTTTTAAGGCTTGGCATAAATTTTAGCCCATAGGGCCAGGTTGGATTGAGATTTTGAGCTTGTTTAATTTTCGGGTTGGGCTTGGGATGAAGAATTTTATATATTTATTATATCATATAGAAGGATAATTAATTGTTAAATGTCATATATATGGATATCAAAATCAAAGATAATTATTTTTAAAGTCTAACATTCCATTTGGATGGGATGATTTGATGAGAAATGATAAGAAATGATGGGAAAGAGAACTCTTCTCTTATGTTTGGTTTATCAGTTGAGTTTAAAATACAAAGGAACAAAAAAGAAATCTCCCTTGTATCCCTCTTTCACATGCTTTGTTTTCTAACTCATATAAACATGATAGGGAGAAAACATAATCATTTCTTTTCTTTTGTCACCCTATGATCCAAACGGAGTATAAATGAGAAGAACATATATAAATTCACATTATTTTTGTTATCATTGGATTCCAAGTTATTTAATTCAAACTTATAATGTGTTCCATGTGTGTGTAAGTGTTTGGTGGTATCTGAAGTGTGTTGTGTCGGTTCTTAACACGATGTAGGACACGACATGTTGCCTTCTTAGAAGTGTCTGTGCGTCTTAGAAATAACCCATATATATTGGGTTAAGTGGGACAGCTTGATTTAGAAATTTGTTTAGAGTTGGATTTAGGATGGCAAAATTAAGCTCAATGTCTCGAATTTGGGATGACACATACACTTTTACTAGTAGTGCAAGCCTGGCCCACTATGTCCACCCCTAGTTTCCATTATCCGTGATCATATCACAATTCCTCACTGTTGTCTCTACTGGTCTTTGTTGTACAGGACCAACCCATATTATCCTTTTAACTTATTGAAATTAATCTTGAGTTGGCAAGACTCCTACCATTTCAACAATGGTTTAGCCATACATCCACCTCAACATTCTCATCTCAGCTACACTTATTTTACTTGTGTTTTTTCTTAGTTATCCAACATTCTCTGTCCCGTAAAGCATTGTTGGCCTTATAATTATTCTATAGAATTTCCTTAAGATTTTGTTGGTATACATTGATCACATAATATGCAAGAACCACTTCTCCACTTTAACCTACTTTAATTTTATGGATCACATCTGCTCCAACCTCTCCATCCTCGCTAATAGTCAAGCCTAGATAATAGAATTGTTCACTCTTAGTTATCTCTTGATTTTCGATCTTCACTTCTCCACTATTTTTACTTGTGTTGTTAGCGAAGTTACATTTCAAATATTCAGTTTAAGTCATTATTTAAAACACTCAGACCCATATGCTTTTGTCCACATTTTTAATTTAGTGTTAATTCCTCTTTTAGTTTCATCCACCGAAACATCATATGTGAATAACATATACCACAGTACACAATCTTGAATGTGTCGAATTAATTTATTCATAACTAAGGCAAATAGGTAAGGACTCAAGGCTGACCTTGGTGTAATCCTATAGTAATTGAAAATTCACTTGTGTTCACTTGTACACACACCTGCATCTGATTCTCATATTTGAGTCCATGTAACATAGCATTGCACATAGAAAGGGTGTTTAGCCTTTGTTGTGTCACTTCGATGCATATGTGAGCATTCCCATCCATGTTTCTCTCTTCAGGTTACTGCCAACCAAAATATTCTCTGTTTTGGTCTTTCAAAAGACAAAAGTGGTTATGTACTAAGTTCTCAATAAACTGATTACATCTTTTTGTGCGACATTCAACCACATTCTAGGATAAATGTTTCCATTAAGCATAGGTCCTTAGAGAAGATCAATTGTTTTAGAATATACATCCTTTCAGATTATTATTTGCCAGTGGGTGCTTAGGATTTGTCAGAATATATATCTAGGATTTCGTGTTTTGTTGTTGCTGTTTTGATGTTATTGCTTTCTGGTGGTGCCAAGGCATTGTATGATAATTTCGTTGCATAAAAATTTATTTAATTTTTAGGGGTTTTTTTTGGCTGTGGTTGTTGGAGCACTGACGGGTATGTATGGCTTTGGGTTGTTCCTATCAGGTCTTTCCTTTGTGGTGGATCAACTGGTTTATTCATCTATGCCTACTGCTTATACTACTACTATGCACGATCAGATATGTCTGGTTTCATGCAAACCTCATTTTTCTTTGGGTACATGGCTTGCATATGCTATGGTTTCTTTCTCATGCTTGGGAGCATAGGTTTCCGTGCAGCACTACTCTTTGTCCGTCACATATACCGCTCAATCAAGTGTGAGTAGTGTGTCAGTTGATTAGTATTCTATTTCCAACTGTTATGTCTTACAAATATGGGATGGAATCATCCCTGGTCAAAGAGGAACATTAGGACTTGTAAGGAGGAAGCTTGTACTAAATACATCTGACGTTTTGAGAAACAATTCTTCTTCTTTTCACCTCTACAGGTTGACAATTTATTTACCATGATATGTTTTAGTTTAGCTTCTTTTTTTTTTTTTTTAGTTTCTTTTTCCTCTTTTTTTTTTTTTTTTTTGTATTAATTTGTTACTTAGATGTAGGGAAGCAAATGTCACACTGATCCCCCTTTGGCGTCGTCATTGTTATAATGTTATTATTATTTTTTCTTTTGTTCCATTTATATTGGCATATCTGGCAAATTTAAAGAGGTCCTTATGATGATTTGTTATCATGTGTTTTTTGGGTTTTACCTAGCAATCTCCATAACAAGGTGAACTGAACTTAAATGGAAGCTAGTTAATTATTCCCAAATCCCCCTCGTTTATTTTGCTTTTGTTGTTGTTGTTTGTGTGAGTGTGTGTGTTGTGGGTACAAATGAATGGTGGTCCATTGCAAGAGACATTAAAGTAGGGTGATTTTGTGTGTGTCACAACCGAGGGTATTGGGGACTTTGCTCCAACTAGTGTCAAGAATATGCAATCTCCCAAAGTAGGGTGGGTGATGTGCTTGAGGTCTTGGGAAAGGGCTGCCTTGCTGCTGTTTCTGCAGCTTGTATGGGGTTTCACCCACTCTAATTGATCAGAAGATTAACTTCGAATGCGAGTGTGTGCGCATGTATTGAAAGCAGTGAGAATTTTTCAAAGCTGTAAAATTTGATTATTCGAAAATCAGAGAAATTTCTCTGTTTCATAAAAGTGAAATTTTCAAATTTTGTCATTTTGGAATACCTGAACTTGAGATTTTAGCTCTAAATTCAAAATGAAGTTACCAATTTTTTAAGTTCACCATCAATTTTGTAATTTTCTCTCAATTTGATTTTTTTTTTTTTTAAATAGTCAAATTTTGTTGGCCTTAATTTTACAATAGTTAGTTTTTAATCGAAAATTTAACTATTTCTAAAATAGTGAAATTTCATTGACTTTAGAATGGAGAAAGTGCAAAATTTATAATTTTAAAGGCCTCAACTTGACGTTTTTATGCCTAAATTAATATATAAGTTCTTAATTTTTGCAATTGGCATTCACTTTACAATTTTTACTATTTTTGGTTCTCAATTGAAAATCTTACTATCTTGAACACTGTTAAATTTTCCTATTTTACAAATTATTGCTTTTTTTATTTTTATGTTTTGAAACAGTTTTTTAAATAACAAGCTCTGGATTTATTGAGCTGTGTTTAGGGATATTTTTATGGGATATTACAAATAGGTAGAAGAGGGAAAAAAAAAACCAACAAATGAAGTTCAAGTGTGTTTGTGATGGTGTGCAAATGAAAGGTGGTGGGGGTGCAAATGTCAATTGCACTCCTCATGTATTGGTTATTTTTTTTTCCCTTCTCCCACCTATATGTAATTTCTCCTAATTTTATCTAAATTTGACATCCAAATTTTTAGTGTAAAACTATTAATTATTTATTTATTTTATTTTTTTTAACTCTGTTCTTAAACTAGTATAATCTTATAATGGAGCTAGTAATCATATGACTAGCAGAAAGAGCTTATTCACTAAGCTTGATGAGAAAGTTCATGGAGAAATCTCATTTGGCGACCTCTCCAAAGTCCTAGTTCGAGGAAGAGGTGATATTGTGATCAAGAGAAAGAATGGAGATTATGCTTTCATTTCCAATGTCTGTTATGTTCCAAACATGAAAACCAACATATTGAGTCTTAGATAACTCCTTGAAAGAGGCTATCAAATTAGCCTGAAAGATATGCTACTCACAATTTTAGACACTCGAGGGAAGCTGATTACTTGAGTAAAGATAGCGACGAATAAAATGTTTCCTTTCACCATTCACCATAACACACCAAAGTGTCTAAGTGCGATAATACATGACAAAGACTGGATATGACATCTCAGATTCGAACATCTTAACTTTGAAAGCTTGAAGTAATTGGGAACCAAGAACATGGTGAAAGGTATGCCCAACATTCACATCCAACTGAGATGTGTGAAACTTGTATTATTAGCAAGCAATACAGGAACAACTTCGGAAAGGAAGCAAATTGGAGAGCAACCAAGCCGCTCCAACTAGTTCACACAGATGTGTGGTCCGTTGAAACCAATATCAAACGAACATAACAGATACTTCCTTACTTTCATTGATGATTACATCAAGAAGACTTGGGTGTATTTACTCAAAAGGAAGTCAGAAGTGTTTGAAAAGTTCGAAGAGTTCAAAACTCTTGTGGAGAAATAAAGCGGTTGTTATATCCAGACATTATGATCAGATCAAGGTGGAAAATATGAGACGAATGAGTTTGAAGAATTCTTTATGCAGCACGGAATCAAGCGACAATTTACACCAACTTATACCCCCAATTGAATGGAGTAGCTGAACGAAACAATCGCACTATCCTAAACATAGTTAGAAGCATGTTACGAGACAAGAATATGCCCAAGAGTTTTGGGGCTAGAGTAGTTTCGTGTGCAGTCTATTTGTTAAAAAGATGTCCCATAAAATCCTTGATAATGAAGACACCGCATAAAGCATGGAGCACTCACAAGCCGAGTGCGAGTCATGTCAGAATCTTTGGCAACCTTGCCTGCGCCAAGATCCCAGAAGCATGAAGAACAAAGCTTAAACATAAAGGAGAAAAGTGTATCCTTATTGGATATAGTGACAGTTCAATAGGGTACAAAGTATTCAACCGCATCATAAAGAAAATGTTTTTTAGCCGAGATGTCAACTTTGAAGAAAATGAGTCTTGGAAATCAGACGAGACTAAATCCTTCACAAATGTAGAGTTGACAATTGAAGTTGAAGAATCAGATCAACCAAGAGAAGTGGCTAGGGAGCCACCATCACCTAGAGAGCAAGAGATATCTCATCGTGTTTTTCTTTCACCACAGAGAAATTAAACTCAATCACCAATAGAACGAGAAATTTCAGACATGAGGCCTAGAAGGATTCACAATCTTCAAGATCCGTATGAAAATACAGAAATCATGGATGAAGATACAAATGTACTTTGTCTACTGATAAGCAGCGTTCCAGTTAGCTTTAAGAAAGCTAACAATGAAGATAAATAGAAGATTGCGATGGATGAAGAAATCAAGTCCATTGAGAAGAACAAGACTTGAGAGTTAACTACTCTCCTGAAGGGCCGCAAAAGTATTGAAGTGACATAGGTCTACTAGACCAAAAGAAATGCTCAAGGAGAAGTTCAATGATGCAAGGCAAGACTTGTTGCAAAAGGCTACAAGCAGAAAGAAGGAATTGACTATGGAGAAGTCTTTGCCCTTGTTGCCAGATTAAAGACCATCAGGTTGCTAATATTATTAGCAGTACAAAAGAGTTGGAAGATTTACCAACTGGATGTCAAGTCAGCATTTCTAAATAGATTTCTTAAAGAAGAAATCTATGTGGACCAGCCACCTGGATATGTAAAGAAAGACCAGAAAAACAAGGTGTGGAGGCTCAAGAAGGCCTTGTACGGATTAAAGCAAGTTCCTCGTGCGTGGAACATGAAGATTGATGATTATTTCCAAGAGAATGGATTCGAGAAGTGTCCCTACGAGCATGTACTCTATTTGAAAAAAGGAAGCTGATGGAAGCTTGTTGTATGCATTCCTATACATTAATGATTTGATATTCACCGGGAACAATCCAACAATGTTTGAATCCTTCAAGAAAAGTATGGTCCGAGAGTTTGAAATAATGAATATTGGATTGATATGTCATTTCCTTGGCATCAAAGTAGTTTAAAGCAACGATGGAATCTTCATCTCATGGAGTAATTATGCAAAGGATATTCTCAAGATATTTAGCATGCCAAACTGTAACTCTGTCTCAACACCTGTTGAAACAAGGTTGGAGGTAATGAAGAATGAGCAAGGAGATGTTGATCCTACATATTTCAAGATTTTGATTAGAAGCTTGAGATACGACAACTTAGTTGTCTGCATTGTATATAGATCATGAATGTATTGAAATATTTGGGATTTCCACAAAACAATCCCACAGAAGTTTATGTGACGCCCCAATTTCTACTCTAAGGGTTAGGGTAACATTACTAAAGAGTCCTTTGGTTAATAGCCAGGTAAGATCTCAGGAAGGTCGGAGAAGCCAATAGAGCCTCCCTTCTAAGTCCAACCACCTTAGATAGCAAGCTATCTTTTTAACAGATCTTAAGAGATATTAACGCAAGGTCTCATAAGTAACGCAGAGATAGTCATAGGATTACAAAGATATATAAACAAATAATAATTACAGTGTTTCAAAACTCAAAACGAATTCCATTACTATTACATTTTTAAAAAAAAAAAACACGAACAGACTCATAAGCAAAATGGCTTCTAATTTTCTCTAAGGCAAATATAAGTCTTCAAATGTCTTTAGCTCTTTGTTGGCCTCGTATGTTTCTTCGATACTTGGTATGAAACGCCATGAGTATTGAATGCCCAGTAAATGCACACACACCCCGTCCATTTTTCCCAATTCAATACAAAATAGCAATTACAACGCTAGAGAAAGAAAAATGATATTCAAGAAAATAACAAAGGTTACAAGGTTAGTTGTTAGTAAACTAGAAATCCCCAAAGAGACTTCATCCTTCCAACCATAAGAATTGAACGTGAATTATTCAGTATACCCCCTCTTTTGTTGTTTTATTGCAAAACTTACCTCGAATGCCTACCAACGGTTATCTACCGCATAACGCCAACCGCAGGGCCTCAAAAGAGGCGGTAATAATGGGCCTTGCTCAAATCCCTCCTTACACCAAATACCTAGGGTTTGAATATAACCACTCCATTTAAGGGTTCCGAAACAACCGCTTGCTCAAGAATTTACTTTCAAGGGGAACACATCCCGCTAATCAATTCAATTTGAACATAACTTTATCTCATAAAAGTACTCACGTGATCGAAACCCCATTAGCCACCCCATTAAGTTTTCCGTTGAGATTAACGTTTTAAGATGGTTAGTACAGGCAAGTAACAAGAATAAATTTGCATAAGTGTAAGTATCAAGGAAAATAAGAAGGTTGGTGAGAAAAGAAGCCAACTAAGGAAAAATTTTCAATTC